GAGGGAGGGGGGGTGCATGCAAAGCACTGAGGTCCTGATCCCTGTCCCCGTGGTGGAGCTGAGCCAGGAGCTGTCGGTGCTCCCAGCCCGGCTCAGCCACCACCATGGGCTGGATGGGGGGGTGTCTCTGGACACGTCCCCTTGTCCCCAGGGGGAGGAGCTGGGCATGGCAGGATGGATGCTGGGGGACGTGGGAGGGGACGGTCTCACCTGACAGCCCGGATGAGGGTCTTCACTGCTGGCATGATGTCCTCAAAGGTCAGGTCGCAGTGGGAGCTCTTCTCCTCCCCGCTGTCCTCCGGCGGGCACTCGGCTGTGGGTGCCAAGAGTGGGCAGGTGGCAGAAACCGAGGGCTGTCCCCCTGTGCCCCCCAAAATGCCTGCAGCCCCCAGCGTGACCCCCCCAGCCAGACCCAGTCCCCACCAGTACCCTCAACGGGGATCCGTGGCTTGAGCCTCAGGGATGCGCGGAAGCGAGTCCGGTCATTGAAGCTCCAGCTCTTCTGCACCTTGGTGGGGCTGGAGGCCTCGGGGATGTCCTCGGTGCTGGGGGAGCGGTGCAGGGGGGGCCCCAGGTGCTGCCTGCCCCGGCTGCTCTGCCGCTGCGAGCTGCTCAGCCGGATGCGGTCCTTGATGCCCATCTTGTTGCTGCGCGGGAGTGGGCAGCGTCAGAGGCTGCTGGGAACTGGGGAGGGGGGGACAGGGATGGGGACAGGGTAGGGGAGCAGATCCCTGCTGTGGGCACACACAGTGCCCACCGTGGGGGGGTGAGGATGGGGGAGGCCGTGCTGAGCTCACGGAGAGCCCCCGGCACACGATGGGCGCGAGCTCGCACAGGAGCCAGGCCGGGAGCAGGCAGGCGGTACCACGAGCCTGTGGGGAGCAGCTTGGGGGGGTCACTGCTTTAAAGATCTTCCCCCCCCCGCCCCCTCTGAGAGGAGAGAAAAGAGGAGACAGACAAGGAGAGCGCGGAGAGGGAGGACACGCAGCAGAGCTGCCAGCAGAGCAACCAGCCCCAGTCCTGCAGGGAGCAGCCCTGCCCATCCCCACTGGCACCAGGTGTCCCGGGGCACCCGGCCAGGCCCCTTCATCCTCCTCCTCCTCTCCCAGGCTGCAGCACCGAGCTCAGGCTTTGCTCCGGCGGGCGAGCTGAGCAGCCCCCCTCCTGCCCTAACACGAGCTCTGCTCCTGAAACCAGCCACTGCGCGGGGCTGAGCTGCCAACAAGCATCGTTTATGTAGGACCTACACAAAACCACCATCTGCTGCTGCCTTTTGTGTGAGGGGGGAGCACCAGCACACGTTGGGACACGCGAGGAGGCCAAGCAGATGTGAGCAGAGGAAGCTGAAGCTGCGGGGGACGTGGAGTAAACCCCAAACCTGGTGCACAACAGGGTCCATGAAACCTGGCATTTGGGAGCCTCCTGAATTTCCCTGGCCAGGAGTCACAGGGCAAGACAGGGGTACGGGCAGGGGTACGGGCAGGGCACGGGGCTCCCAGCCTCTCCCCATGCAGGTTGCTGGTGAGCTGGTCCCAGGCAAGCAGGGCTGACACAAGCCCCTGCAGCAGGTGGCACAGGGTGCTGCCAGGCTGTGCCGGAGGCCGGATAAACATTCAAAATAAATAAACATAAAATAAACATCCAAGTGCCTCTTGTTGGACTCGGCAAGCCCAGCACGGCCACCGGACTGGGCTCATCCATGCCGCAAGGAGGGGGAAACTGAGGCAGGGCTAGCTGTGGGAGGCGGCGGGGGAGCGTGGGGACAGCCAGCTCAGGCCAGGCCATGCGCAGACCCTGCAGAAGGCTCATTCTGCACCCTGTCCCCCCTCTGCCTCGCCCCCCCCCGGCCCCTCCACCCAGCAGGCAGCCCGCCACGGAGCACCATGCCCCCCCAGTGCTCCCCAGCGCAGGCAGTCGGGACGGGCAGGCAGTACCTCCGTCTCCACGTGCCCCACGTCCGCAAGAGCCTCCTCTTACCACTAAAGATGGGGCTGGAGGGTCAGGGCAGAGACACAGGAGAAAACGAGAGTTAGCCCGTGGCCAGGAGTGGAGCATCCCGGGCCACCGTGTCCCTGACGCCCCGGCCATGCCTGCACCCCCCCGGCGTGTGGGCGCAGGGTCCCTGCCTGCCACCGGTGAGCATCTCCCACTCCACCGGCCTCTGAAGCCCGAGTCAAGTTGTTTGTGTAGGTCCTGTATAAACACCA